CCACTAAAAAAAATTATCTACTATATACTATATTTCCTACCTACCTTAAGTTGCATCAATAGCGCATCGCGTTCTTTAAAAAGTGACTCATAGTTTGGAAGTTGCCAACTATCGGAAACATGTCCTCGCGATCGCCAGCCCCCGAACTTGCCTTCGCCGAATATTTCCAAAGGAATCGGCACGCACGATGGGCACGCCACACAGGGTTTCTGTCTTACCCCTATTTCGTAATTCTCTAGTGATCTTGCGGAAATTGCTTTTCAATAAAATAAAGGGTAAATTATTTTGCCGGATTTTTTGAGCTTATTTATTACTAATTTATTCCTTAATTCATTGCTAAATTAGGCTTAGCCTTTTGTTGAGTCATTCAACCCTACACAGGTAATCTTGAGAACCTAACCGCCTTTAACCATAGCTCAGTGTCGTATCCTCACGACGGGTTGTTTTTATCGGTTTTTTTTCACCGTTGTGTATCGCCGAAACGTGTGTCACTCTGTCAAAACGAACAAACATACAACACTATTTCCGCGCCGCGCACAAATCGATGACGTCACACACGCAGCCTTGGGCGCCCTAATTGCGACAGGTTTGTCGCGAGGCCGACATTGACAGCGAGAGAGGCCGCCACGGCACGTGCCCGCGTGTATCAATTTTTTATAGCGTCCTCGACGCCCTATCTCCGGATGCTTATCTATTAATGCTCATTGATACGGATATTCGACCGGTGCTGTGCAGGCAGTGCTTTCGATAGCCTTGATTTTGACTGGAAACAAATGTTGACAATAATACCAATATCTGTAAATAGAACTACGACATTTTACTTGTAAATGTTTTATTTTTATATCGGAAGGTGGCAAAGGCTGGTGGCTCGCCGGATTTTATTGACTGCCGCCACCTAGCGAGTAGTTTAAAAATACCAGTGGGGGTTGCAGATGCGTTGCCAGCATTTAAGAGTGGGGCTCGATTGCCACAGACGAAACACAAAAACACAAAAGTATAATAGGTACTTCCTCTTTACGCCTGTCTTCCGCAGGACTTACCGGACGATCCTGCTCGTTGTTGCAAGAACATAAGTTGCACCGTGGCTGTTCTCCGTTTACTTAAGTTGTGTTTCGAGTGGCAAGTGTTTCGCATTTGTTTCCGATGTAGAGATGTTAAAAATCCGTCTGCACCTTCCTGAACTATACAGGGTAAATAGAATTGAATGAATGAACAACATAATTTCCGCTTGGATTTGAACTCGGGTTGCTCTAGAACCGAGATAAAACCGAGCGTCCGTTGACTGAGCTACTCTAATAATAAGTTTCTTAATAGTATAACCGTGCTAGCTCAGTGTCCGGGCGCTCACTTTTAATTCAACATACTCGAGCAACTTAAGTCCGAACCCCGGTGTTAGCACCGATGAAATTGTCAATATTCAGTGTTGAATTATCACATCGTGGGGAAACCTGCATATTTTCTAAATAATAACAAAAAGAAATATTTCCAAGATGTGAAGTCCGCCAATCCGCAGTGGGGCCGCGTGGTGGACTATGCCCTGATACCCTCTGTACAGAGGAGGCCTTTGCCCAGCAGTGGGACATACAGGCTGTTACTGTTGGGCGAACCTATGTCAAAAATAAAGGTTCGCTCAATACATGGCGTGCGGCAAATACTTAGGCACATAGATTACCAGTTCTATTTGCGATTGTTTGCGTTCGACGCAATTATGCGGGCTCGGGGCGACGGTAATTCATTCATAATTGCCACCGTTGACAACGCTTGTCCGTGACCCGTCACATCGCCAATGTTTGAACAGACATTTGTCAAACACGAACACTGCCCATCGGTGTTTGAACGCGCCGACCTTGGGAGCAAAAGCTCGATCCGAAATAGCCACCGAATATTTGTTGACGCTCTATGGCGTTTGCGTATAAACTTTTTTCAATAACGATAATGGTCAGGCCCACTGAGTAAGCGGTAAGTAATTACGATGCTTTTTCGATTACACAATTTACTTTTTATTCAATAACGTCGGTCGATTTGATGAATTACATAATTGATTCTGATTATTATATTAAAATTTTCCGAAAAAAAAAAAAAAAACGAACAAACCGACGGCGAGATTTTCATGTTTCTGGCAATTAGCCGTTTAGCTTAGTGGTTAAACCGTCTGGGTGCGAATCCGGAAGACGTGTGTTCGATTTCCGCAGCTGTGATAAATTTACGTCCTTTTTTTTTCTGAAAATGTTTATGTCTCATTTAAAGTGCAGTAATTAATTAGCGCCATGAAATTTCTAATTATCGAAACTATAAGTAGGAACTTTCAACCCAAAGTCTGATATTTGTAATTTATTGTATGTAACATTGTCTTGAAGTCGTTGTGATATATTTTGAAGTCATACTTCTTTCGGCGCATATGGGAAAAATTATGAGTGCGCGTTAGTAGTAATCGAAGCGTAAAGAAAGGTTCAATTTGGCTGTCTTTCTCCTCTTAACACGCGCTAGCTACCTGAACAAACTGGAGCGGAAAAAACAGCTTATTTTTTTAATATTAGTTAAATTTATTACCAATTTTTATTACCGTTATTTTATTTATTACTTTTTATTTGTTATTTGTCCCTGATATTCAACATTATTTATTATTGTGGTTGTGTGCAATGTGTAATGTGTGGTCTCTATCAATACCAAAAATTGCCTTACTGTGCCATCTCCTCCTTTATTATATTAGGATAGTCAGATGAGGAGACATATCAAATGTCAATTATATAATGTTGCACTGTTATATTGTGTTATGTTTATCAAATGAAGGAAACGGTGACAATTTAAATGTAAATATTTAAGTAAAAAGGACAGAAATCCTCTACTCTGTGATTAGCAAAGGCGGGCCGTGGGAGCCTGGCACGCGGTGTGTAACCAGCCCGCAAGACATAAGAGATGACGTTTTTGTCAAACAAATCAAAACGAAAAAGAAACACGTTATACGTTAAAACTAGATCAACTCAGTAATTCCGTTACGTTCTTGTCGCTATATCGCGTAGAAAAAAAGTATTTCGTGGAAATCTTATACGTTTCAGTCAACCTTTAGTTTAATCTTTTATCTCTTTTATAAAAAAAAATACTTTAAATTCTGAAAACAATCGTAAATGTATGCCTATGATAAAATTTGCAACCACTTTTTGAATCAATTGATGAAATTATGCAATTTATTAAAAAACTAATAGCAGTGAATCACAACTTCATTGCTAATATTATTACATTTGTTCTCATAGACCCCCGTCGGGGTGGGCACGTTATGTGAATTACGTTGATAGTTGAATCGGCTAGATTTTTATGACTGGCCGTTTGCAAACCAGAACAACAACAAAAATCTATAGGTCCCAGAAATATTTGTCTTGGAACTGAACTCTGGCACCGCAGCCTAATAGTTTAGCAACTGGCTTATCTATACACAAACAAGTCGCAAAACACCATTATCTCACTCTCTCTCGGGCCGGCCCTACACCGCAGGCCGGCCCAGTGTGGGTTCCTCTTAGGTTCTTCGGGGGTGACCAATCCACGGCTACTAGGCCCCTCCGCCACGTGAAGGCGAGAACCCGGTCGGAGGGGAAATTACGTCAAAGTCTAGTCTTGATAACAAGTTATATATGATCAATTACAAAACCTTTGTGCACAAAAGAGGTGAACAACCGAAAAAAGCGAATCGCAAAACATAAATTCAAAAAATCTTTGATATCCGAACCGTTGTTCGCCACCGTTGTGTTGACACCGCGCGTGTTGGAATCAGAACGCCATCGCCTGTCGATGCCACCGTTGGCTGGCTTTAATAATTTATAATCTGTAATTGCGGCATCGGTCGGCCTCCGTCGTTTCTTTAATAGTTCCATAATTGCCACGTGCACTGCGCTGTTAGGCGCGCCCGCGAAAACTGTGCCGCCACTGTTAAAAGCTAGAATAAAAATCGGCCGGTGGAAATACACGGAAATAGAGCCGAGGATCTGCTGAGTAAGTTCTACCTATGAATACGTCATCAGCTACCACCGTGCTGGATAGTCTAGTGGTAGCCAGTTGATAGCGAAATATGTATGCTCGTAATACATGTATCATTATCATCATTATTTCAGGCAGTTTTAGTGCTGGATATTTAATGTGGTAGGGCCACGGAGCCTCGGCTGTTGCATAAACGGGCAGTACCACGAATACCACCATCCGGGTAAGTACCACGACCTCACAGAAGACCGGCGTAAAGTGGAAGTATAATACTTTCGCGTTTCGTCTGGTGAATGAGGTGGCCGGAGATCAATTTTCAAAAGGTTGTCAACACATCAGCAACCCTAGTGTGTAACAGATGTCATGGGCGGCGGTATTCACTTAAAATCAGGTGAACCGTCTGCTCGTTTGGCGACTTCTCACATGAAAAAAAACGCGGCCATGTAACACCATCCTGAGCCACCTGCATCCATCGAATTCCCGCACATTTGCATAGGTCTTCAAATATTACATGTATGCAATGGTCATCATTGTGGTAACTCACAACCGAGCATGAGGAGGATACAGAACCGAGAAAGGTGTCACTTTTTGGCGTCATGAGTCATTTACTTTTTGTATATTTCCATAAAGACGAGTTTATGCAATTAGTGCAGTATCATCATACCATCACCATACCAAAAACAAGCTATGCCCGTGATTTCTCTTCGTAATAGAGTTCGCAACGAAGCTATCCGCAGTGGAACAAAGATAACCAGCATAGCTCAGAAGATTAGTAAGCTGACGTGACGATGGGCCGGCCATGTAGCCGATGGACGGATAACCGATGGGGTAGAAAGCTTTTCGAGCGGCAACCTCATAATGGCCATCGCAATCTGGGACAAACTCTACTAGATGGAATAACGATCTGCAGCAGTGGACTCTACAGGCTGAAAAGAATGAATGAATGATTTTTTTATTTCTCATAATTTTTTAATGCTTTCAGTTTGGACTTTATTCCTTGAGGATGTGTCCCCTGGGCTCCCCGAGCCACCATGCATCGTCCGGCTACCCTCTCGCCTTCCACTCCTAACAGCCGCGGAATGGACAAATACGAGCAGCTAGCTGTGGTGAGCAACTTATACTCTATTATGGGGCGATTCCAACCGCCATTTTATCCAACAGTATTTAACCACATCATGTTAGGTTGGCTTAAAGTGATACTTCGCGAAATCATGAATCTTTAAGTACAAAATTTATTTCTACAAGCCCGTATTACTGTGTATGCTTCAATATAACCTACGATATTTTTTATATGAAACGTAAGGTGCTCCATGTTGGTTTCCGTGTTATTTGTAAGTTGTGTATAACTAACGCGGATTTAAGTCGCGCCACTATGGTCATCTTTGCCAACGCCGGCAGTGGATCCTGCGAACGCAGCGACACCAGCTGGGCGCGTTAATCTTTGAAACAGAAATGCAAAACCTATGTATTATTTTAAACTTCCGTTTTGTTCTCCTTTATATTTAATGCATATTAGTGAATTCGTCATATCAACTGACACAATGTCTCAAACGACTACCTCGCCAACATCCATTGCGCGCAGTGCTGTGGACTCCATTTCATGCGGGACAAAAATTCCTGATGTCACAATACATTCCTGCCATGGAATGGGTTGAATATTCCAACTATTATTTGTTGAAATCTGTAAATGAATGACGAATCCAAGAATGTGCTAGAGAGATATGGTTAAATATCTTCTTTCAAGCAACATAGATCTTTCTAGATCGTCCTGATTAGATAATACCAGAAGATTAATGATGTTTACGGTGCTAGGAATTTTTTGTATCTTTTCAATAGAATGAAATCCTTTTTGCTTGATCTTCGAATTAACCATGACGTTGCAGGTAGGCGAGGGCTCGTACGGCGTGGTGCTGAAGTGCCGTCGTCGCGACACTGGACAGCTGGTCGCCATCAAGAAGTTCCTCGAGACGGAAGACGACGCCGCCGTCAGGAAGATGGCGCTGCGGGAGATACGCATGCTCAAGGTATCTTATTCTTTCTCCTGACCTTACCCTCTTAGGTGGGATCGGCACAATACGTGAGCCATGTCGTTGATTTTCTCGACTAGGTTTTTTTTTAAACGGCATTATCTTTGTGTTCCTTTTACTCATTATAGTACAACTAAAACATTTATGAAACCTCCAAAAAATTTGAAATCCAGTTTTGTGTCGATACCAATATTACATACTATAATACAACGCATAATAATGCGTTATATTTCAAAATTGACACCAACTATGTCAGAACTGTTCATTACATTGTCATCATCGTTGTCAAGTTCAGATGACGACGATGATCTGATCAAAAATGTATATTTCAGAAGTTGCGTCACGATCACCTCGTGAACATGATCGAGGTGTTCCGAAGGAAGCGTCGCTTCTACCTCGTGTTCGAATACTTGGACCACACGCTTCTGGACGAGCTGGAGGCGTCGACTGGTGGTCTCGGCGAAGTCACCGCCAAGAAGCATCTCTATCAGCTGCTCAAGGGCATCGACTACTGCCACCAGAATTCTGTAAGCTATGCGTTAGTTAAACTTTTTGTTGCCCACTTGCAATCTGTACATTTTAACATTTTCCGTGTTGGCACAGTAAAATATCTTTAATTTGATTAAAATTTGATTTCTCAGCATTTTCATCATAAATTGAACATTAACTGACATCACATTCTATTTTTGTATTATGATTTATAGTGTTATGCATCACTGACGCATCCTGTTGCCCTCTCATTAATCTTAGTCAGCATATAGTGTAAAGATATTCTGTAATTTACCTTGTGATAAACCCTACAATAGTATTTTAAGTTAAAAAAAATTACACCATATAGAAACTGAACGGTAATTTAAAATGCAGATTGATATCTGTACAAACAATTATTATGGGACTTGCATGCTAGAGAATTAAATTCAAAAAATCAGGTTTTTGGGCCAATATCAAATTAAAACAAATAACATGATCGAAACCTAGCGGTCTAAACGACTGACTGTGTTGTCTATGGTCTAGGTCCAGTAACAACATAGTTTTATTTTTTTCATTGGTACTAAATCTTTTCGCTTAATTGATACATCGGTGAGTTACGCTACCATCTAATAACATTGATGGCCGGTTTCAATATTCTATCTGTAGATTTGGTTACCAGCGATAGGTATTGGACATTAGCTCTACAATACGTCGTCAAAACTCTTCAATCATCTCCAGCTACCAGATCTACATATAGATAGAAGATAGAATATTGAAACCGGGCGTGACACGACCGCCCTTGCAGATCATCCACCGCGACGTGAAACCAGAGAACGTGTTGGTGTCGCGCGCGGGTATAGTTAAACTGTGCGATTTGGGTTTCGCGCGCGCCCTAGCCGCCCCCGGCGAGCCCTACACAGAATACGTGGCCACGCGCTGGTACCGCGCCCCCGAGTTGCTGGTAGCCGAACACAGGTGTGCCTACACATCGATTCACCCGTTTGTGCATCGACCTCCTAGATGCCGTCGCGCAAATTTCAAACGATTATAAGAGAAATGACTCTGCGTGTTCTGCGCTCGTACCGTATAGTGAAAAAGTGTTAACAGAACAGAAATTAAATTTTTTTATAGTGCTAATCTCTGCATTTATGAAACATTAAAATTTAGGGCCTTAGTGGCTAAGGCGTCATGCCGCGAATGCCGAAGACGTGGGTTCGATTCCCACAGCGGCGACAATCTTTTCCTACCTTTTCTACAAATGTTAATGTTAACAGAACCGATTGAAATTATAAAGAAACAGAGCGTCTGACCAGCCTTTCACCGAGTACCATGAATCAGATAATCTTTGTTCGTTTCCCGATTTATCTTAACTTACCTCATAATCCAGAATTTTTTATATTGCATCCATGTTAATGTTCTCACATATTATCCCAATCTCTTGTCATTTTGAAAAAATAAAATTAGGTTTGGAAAAAAATGAGTTCTAAACATAAGGGAGGCACTTTTGAAGGTACGGGCCAGAGGTGGACATCTGGGCGATGGGCTGCCTTTTCCGCCGAGATGCTGACCGGTGACCCGCTGTTCCCCGGCGACTCTGACATCGACCAACTGGCGCTCATCATCAGAATCGTCGGTGAGTAACTTACTGAAGTCGTTTTGACGGACCTAAAGAGTCCCACAAGGCCTCATTAAAGCTCTCGTCTGTCGAACAGTCGCGTGCAACGGATATTTTTGTAGTTTCTAGAAATACTGTTGATTTACTTCTAATAAAACCGGCAGACCTTTTCATCAATAAAACTCGAGACGACATACACGACAAATCACAACAACACGTACCGCAGAGAAAACACATTACTACGTGTTTTCTTGTGTAGTGAATGATTTGTTTCCTTTTTTATGTGAGAAGGTGGCAAGTGACCTTGCGGTTCACTTGATGCTAAGCGACAACCGCCGCCCATGGAAATTTGCAACACACGGTGGCAGATGCGTTGCCACCATTTAATAAAGTGCGCCCCGGCCACCTTACTCGGCAGACGAAACGCAGAAGTATAGCGTTTCCACTTCACGCCGGTCTTCTGTGAGATCGTGGTACTTCCCCGGACGGACCTGCATAATATACAGTATACATAATATACAGTATACATAAGTATACATATATGCGTGACGTAGACTGTTGCATGACCCCAACCACAGGTCTATGCGTGAGATTAAAATTTCACACGCAAAATAGTCCCTCTCGATTGAGAAGAGCTTAAAACTGTGATGCGGAGATCACCCTCTTTCTTAGGTGTTATAGACAATGAGGAGTTCCGAACGAATCCCTCTCGGGCTGCAGCGTTCCGTGCGTTTGCAGGGAAGCTGGCGCCGCGCCACCAGCAGGTGGTGTCGCGGCTGTCGGGGGGCGCGGGGGGCGCGGGGGGCGCGGGGGCGGGGGGCGCGGGGGGCGCGGGGGCGGCAGCGGGGGCGGGGCGCGGGGCGCTGCCGGGGGCGGGGCACGCTCGGGAACTGCTCGCAGCCTGTCTGCGAACCGAGCCGAGAGCCAGGCCCCCGGCGGCGACGCTCCTCAGACACAAGTGAGACTATTATGTTTATTTACATTATTACAGCGTCATTCTACGCGAATGATAAGTTTGTGAATCACTTATCCAGACCGATGCCATACGTTAAAGCGCGTATATCGTGCAGATGTCGTGGTGATCTCCACGAAGATGACCTCACTTGTAACAATGAGAACCTGAATAGGTAGGTGACAGTATTAGGTAGTAAATATTAATGACGATGTTATGAAAATAAATGAGAATCGTGTTAATTGACAAAAGTCTGGACCTCACCAGGGAATCCTAAGACGTTAGTCATCCTAAAATCTAGGTATTAGTTAACTATAGAGTTGAAATTAAATATAAACAGCACATCAGGAATTAAAATGCCGCATTATAAAATGAATATACTATGCAAATATGAATATAGTATAATGGTAGTGTATTTAAAATAAGTAAGAAACTTGTTTCCTTTCAGATACTTCACAGTAGACGGCTTTGCTGATAGTTTCAACGCCGAACTGAGAACAAAGCTCGGCAAAGATATCCAGGTGAGAAGCTAGAAAGAGAGAATGAGACAGTGAGAAAGAGAGGTGTAATCTAGAGTGAGCGATGAATACATGAAATACAGAGCGTTAGATTTTTTTATGTGGTACATCAAGCGAGTAGGTGGTTCGCCTGATGTTAAGTGATTACCGCCGCCCAGATGCGTTCACAATTTTTTTAAAAAGTGACACAGGCCACTCCGGTTTTTCTATGAGGCTCTGCCAATTCATGCAACAACAGAATTTGTTGCGTGGCCCTATCAATATCAAATAAATATCAATATAGTTAAAATAATATGTTTTCGCGCATGCTCATGTTGTAGATGTGAACGTCAGAATTAATACTTGCATTTTGCGAATATTTGCATATCTTTAAAAAGTTTCACTTTTACACAGCTGCATCCGTAATCTTTATATATGTCTTAATGTCTAGGCTTAGATGCTAGACGGTTAGTTTATGTTTTATCACGTTATGCACATGCAATTATTCATTAATTATTCCATCTGTTTTTTGTAAGCCACCTCCGACACAGCAGAGTACCACTCGGAAGCCGAGGCAGCAGTGGACCCTCAGTGTTTTATCGGTATGTACTACCTTTATAAGCTGGAGAACTTGAAGGAAAAAGACAGGGAGAGAGTGAGGGAGAGGGAAAGGGAGAGGGAAAGAAGAGAAAGGGAAAGTCGGTGCTCATCTTTTGGTGATATTTTCCATAAGTACGTACCATTTTATAATCCGAAATGCAGACATAGATGGCCCTAAAAGTTCTGAGATCATTACTTACAATACCGTTTCATGCGGGGGATGTCGACGACATAGGTAATTAAAACGATACGGTAGCGGTAAGCCTCTGAACGTCTTGCCGCGCTCCTCACTCCGTACTTTTCCATTTTCTCTCAACAGGATAACAACAGGTCAAGAACGAACAGCACAGCCGCAGAATCGCTCATCGATTACAACTACACTCCGAGTGAGTAGATATTTACACAGTTAAACTTGGAACAAAATACACATAGATACCAAGTAAGCAGAATGTTTTTATAGTTACCGGGAAAATTTTTAAATTTCTAAACGTGTTATTTAAGTACCTTCAATAGATTGTTTTATAGAGAAATTTGATGGAATTTCGATAAGTTTATCCCCTCAAGGGAAGCCAGGTTTAGCAAGCTAGATTAGTATAAACAGCAACTCTATATTGCATTTTCTATATGTGTATTTGCTTATATGTGTGCATTTTCTGCGATTAATTTGTTTGTTTTATACAAAAAGCGGACTAAATTAAATGCCAAAGGAATTTCTCGCCTGTCAACTCGACGCAGACCGGAAATGAGTATCGAAACCATAATGTTCTATGTTCTGTATTTAAAGATGCAAACGTTAGTTGAATGTTTGACTAATAAAATTGCATTTTGGAAGGTACGGAACCGCAGTTGGAGGCCGCGCCGGCAAGTAACAAACATTCCTCAGTCATCACGACCCCAACGTCTGATAGCGACGAGGTGAGACAATATCATCTCGTAATTAACTTTAACGGTGGTAGGGCCACGCAGCAGCCTCGGCTGTTGCACGAATGGGCAGGCCCGTCCGGGTAAATACCACGACCTCACAGAAGACCGGCGTAAAGTGGAAGTGTAATACTTTCGCGTTCCGTCTGGTGAGCGAGGTGGCCGGAGCCCAATTTTCAAAAAGGTTGCCAACGCATCTGGCACCCTCGGGTGTGGCAGATGTCCATGGGCGGCGGTATTCACTTAACTTCAGGTGAACCTTCTGCTCGTTTAGCAACTTTTCACATTAAAAAAAAATCTATTCTATTCATTAACTTCTTTGGCGCAGCGGCTGAGCATATCTTCTACTGCGCAATGTGTTGTTGTCCCACACGGGACAACAATTTGTGTGACCCACAGACAGCTGTTTCGCATCCGGGTGTTTGTCCACGTGAAATTTATGTCTGTAAAACGTCCTTGCAACACACGTTAACGCTATACTTAAGTAAGGGCAACGATTTCAAACTGGCTATCTTTGTATGGGATGCGTTGCCACCTTTAAATAAAGTGGCCCTAGCTACATCACTCACCAGACGAAATTTAGAAGTGTGACACTTCCATTTAACGCCAGACTCCTCTCAGGCCGGGCTGGTACCTACAAAATTTTTAAATGCAATTTTATGTCTTTCATCGATATGCATCAGCGCGGGAAGGAATATGCACGAGAATACGAAATGAAAATAAGGTTTCGATGATTTACCGTCTGTAGCTGTGTACATAAAGTGGAGGTTTTAGCCCAGTTGTGGGGTTTAATCATGAATGAATTGTGGTGTATAATCATTTTTCTACGGGACAATAGGTGATATAATCAGATAAAAATAAAGAATGTGTATAATGTAGCATACATATTGTATATCATCACATCATATATGAAACTATATCTTATATTACTTTATATATAATTTCAAAGTCATTCGTACGCAGGCGGTCGTGACGCTGCCAGCTCCGAGGCCAACTATTCCTCGCTCTTTGGCACGCGTCGTCAATGAAACCTTCCAGGTCGATTGGTATTCTCAAATTCTATCATTTCGCCTCCGGCACTTATTCGCAGAAGGAGTTTTCAAAACAGACTTATTTGACTTCACTACTTTATTCCCTTATTTAACATAAAAAAGCGCAAAATTAAAGACCCAAAATCCACACTCTGAACTGGTTGTGTATACCATATATTTTTGGCCATGTGTGTAAAGACAAATCCAATTAGATTTATGTAATTTGTATTAGATACAAGTATATTTTATTATTTAAAGACACCCCCACATTTACTTCTCTCAATGACTCTCCGTTTTAATAAATAAAAATATAAATTGACGGCATTTTTATTTACATTAATTTACATTGGTTTCCAGACTTTTCCAGTGCCTGTTAATTCTTATCCGCGAACACCATACATTAAAAAGTAAGTCTTATGGAAAAATATATTTATTTCCTTTGACGAAATCTTGTTTACGTCATTATTATGTTTTCAAAATGCAACAAAAGTATGTTTTGCATGCCCATGGCTACATCAGATTAAATGATTTCATCTGTTTATTTAAATTATTGGAAATAAAATAGGAATACCATTCCGATTTTCTATCCAATAATTCCGGAATACCATTCCTATTTTCTTTCCAATATCAAGATCTACAATCTACATCTACAATATTTAAGAAATTCTTGCCGCTTCTTATCTTGGATTCTTCGAAATTAGTAAATTGGTGAGAGTTTTACCCAAGAGCTTTTATCAAGCCATTTACTAACACTTTATTTTAACACTTTCATAAAAAATACTAAATAATGATTGTCATGAAGTTAGCTCCAATAATGTAATAACAAGAGATTAGAGAAAATGATACAGATAGCGGAACTTAGCTGATATTTCTTTTTTTTTATTTTTTTATTTTTTTATTTTTACATTATGATCTACCAATATCAAATGGCGACAGGGTTAACAGCAAGCTGGTGATGGATGAAGACCTGCTAAGGGGCCGCGTCAACAAAAAGGCGAACAGGAACCACGCACCAGATTTCTCTTTGCCGTACGTCGCCGGAGGTAAATTTTGTACGATACGATATATACGCGGTCAAATTTAATTCTAATGTGTTTATTTATTCAATATAGAAATCAAAATCAAAAAAATCAAAATATTTATTCATCGAAATAAGAAATATACATTTCATCTATCGATAGTAACTTTTTTAATGTACCACCTTTTCGTAATGAGGTTCCTCTAACGGAGAAGGAACAGGCCAAAGAAACTCCGTATCATCTTTTTTGTCATTTTTTTTCTCAATGAGAAAGCATCTCCTAGAAGAAGCATTACACTCACTTATTGTCAAAAAAACTACTACCTTAGTTTTACTACTTGTAATTGTTCTTCAGTTGTAAATATTAGCTATTAGTGTATAAGCCTATCCAAAAGGGACGTGCCAACGCTATTTTTTTTATTTTGGTTTTAACAAACATTGCCCTCAATTTAGGATAACATTATCCTGTGTTGCGAGGTGACATACTTTTTTTACATACTGAAATTTCACGTGGACAAACACCCAGATGCGAAACAACTATCTGTGGATCACACAAATAATTGTCCCGCATGGGGATCGAACCCACGACTCCCGACGTCGAAGCCAATACCTTGACGACTGCGCCACGGAGTGATCTAGGCGCTATCGGGGCCTATTGCATTGGGCGAATTATATTTGCTATTAAATATGACTAAAAGCTAAATGATGAATGCTAAACGACCTATATGACTACTGTTATATACCTCGTTAGCACATAGCATTTCAAATATGTGTAAGTGATGTATACAAGCATCGTTACCTTACGGGTTCGTCAGTTGCTCTTCACTTTCTCATGCTTATCTATTTTCCGTCCCTCCCCTTTCTTTGTTTTGTGTCAGTCTACCTAAGGAGATTTGCATCGATCAAATCATATCATCATAAAAAAAATATAAATCAATACATTTACATGTTTCACTTCGATAGCTAGCAACAGCCCTGTCAAGAAGGCGAAGAAGCCTTTTATTCAGCACAATGTAAAATCCTGCGACGCGTGGGACGCAGTAGTGAGTAGTTTGCAATTATTTTTCAAGCCTTTTATAGCGGTAGGGCCACGCAACAGCTGTTGCGCGAATGGGCAGGCTCGTCCTGGAAAATAGTGAAGTGTTTCTCTCTGGCGTTCTGTACGGTCCAATGACCTGGACCCAACTTTAAAGGTTTAAATTGCACTGTTTAAAAGCTCGGCAGAACCCCGCAGAATACGATGCTGCGTACCGATCGAGCCGAGGTCCGGCCCTCTCGGGCACCCTCGAATCGGAATGCTAAACGCGTGCTGAGTGACAGCCCAAGCCGAGGTCCCCTCTCGGGGACCCTTGAGCCTGATCACTCCATGGAGCGCCCGCCAAAGCGCCCTAAGAGCTTGGCGGCCTCCCAAACCGGTAACAATAATAGCGTGACGGCCCGAGCCCTCGAGCTTAGTCACCATAACGCGTAATAATATTACGCCGAGGTTCAGGCTAGGCGCCTCGTGCGCCAGGTCACCTCAAGTCCGTCGGATCTGTAAAGGCCCCTAAGGCCAACAGTGGCTCATCCAGCCCAAAAAAAAAAAAAAAAAACGATGCTGCTTACTCCAGATCGAAAGAGGAAGTATCACGGCCTTAGTAGTCGATTTAAGTATTAGTAGTAGTAGTTGTAGTGTCTAAGTAGAAATATCTATCTGCCTCTGCCCTTTGCCTGGCGAGTGAGGTAACACCAGATTCGTTATCTTAAAAGTAACCCATGGTTTCCCATGTATCAGCCTATACATGTCCCAATGCTGCAACCATAGTAATTAAAGCTTCGCTTAGTTTGGGACTAGATAACGTTGAGTAAAAATATTTATTATTATTTATAAATAAATGTCTGGGCGTATATAAATGTAGGTAATTTTGAATATGTACCTATTAATTTATAAAAGAAAAGTATGTTTATCACTTACCTAGTTTCCATAGCTTAGCACTGGTCTTCTGTGAGGTCGTGGTACTTACCCGGACGTGCCTGGCCATTCGTGCAACAGCCGAGGCTGCTTGGCCGTGCCAACGCTTACATATTTATATTTATGTGAACTTTGTACAGCGCTTTAACGGAACAGACGTGAGCCTAAACTCGAAGACCAACCTCCCCTACATGTGACTATATAAGCACGGCTTCTGGGGGCTGCCTCGATATTGAATGTCGAGTGCGCTCCCCACTACAAGCTGTGGCAATCTCTGGACATTACTTTTGCGTCATAAATAGAAAACGGAACCGTTTCTCAGACTGCACGATTATAGTGTGTGAGTATATTGTGTGTGGTGTAAAATTTGTGTGGTAAATAGTGACATTTCATTATTGCGTGACCACCATGTTTTAGATTTACGCATTTCTTCAGATGTTGGTAATATCTTGATGTAAAATTTTGATATTATAGTTTTTTGTACTGTTCATTTTAACTGTTACTATTGATTTTTAATTTTTAAACGTTTAAATTGTTTGTGAAAAAAATATAGTAACTATTATTTAACAGCAAAAGTTGTAGTTGTCCGGGAAAGAAATACTTATTTAAATATTTATTAGAAATCTGAACACTTCTTATAATGTTTAATTAATTTATTTCACAAAAATAGCGAAATATTTATAAAAAATAACATTTCATGTTATTTACTACCATTTTAGATACGTAAGTTAATATTAAAAATTTTAATTGCAATATTGCCAAAAGCCGTCGTACGGTTTTGGCGGGAAAACAATTTGGACAAATTTTCGGCGTTAAGTTTTGTTACGATATGAAAATTATGTTATTTTGTAAATATGTATAGTGTTAACATTTTGAATACACGCGATTTGATGACAAGTACGAGTTGTTTCATTTTTGTACAAGGATTAAGTAGAAATTAATTCATGCCGACTTATGTGTCTTGCCAAAATTTTATATTTAATTTTTCAATAGCGACATTACATCCACCAATAATCACTGTATAATATAGTACTAAATGTACCATATTTTCATTGCAATTGTCGCACTTGTTTTATATGAATTAAACTGGAACATATCCACTGCGTAGGGTGGGAAATTTTAGAACGAAATTAACGACATTGATCTGTTGTTTTGTTGTTTTTCACCGACCTCTTTGTTTGTCATAGGGAGATGTCAATGAAGAAAATCTATATTATTCATACATTTATTTATTCTAATTGGCAGTTTATGACTAAGTAAATGGTATACATTATGGAAATGGAGGAAACTGAAAAGTTGAAAAAGACACAAAATTAGCAGAAATAAAATATAATATTTTGAAATGTTTGTAGCATCAAGAACTTAAATTTAGTTAGTAGACATGTCATCAATAAATACACATTGAAATGTCCATTCTAAAATGTATACATTTTCTCTTACAAACTAAACGTTAGCGAAGAATACGAGCGACAGCTGGATTTTTCAATCTCCGAGATCAGTTCATATTAAATATATTTGTGAAGTTATACTTCTTGTGGAGCGTTTGGGAAAAAATATGAGAAAAATATTTTTACGATGCGCGCCAACATAACGCGCCAAGCGACCAACTTTAGGATATTATTACCATGGCAACCAATAACTTTTTGACATTTATATCGGTAAATGTCAAAAAGTTATCTAATTAAAACGTTATCAATTGCATTTACTGTCATTTTCGCAAATAAAAGTAGTGGTTGAGGGCTACAATTTTTAGTTTCTTTTTCTTTGGTTACACTAAAGAAGTATAACTTCTTACGTACGTACGTACTACACACATTTTTTTATTCGAATCAGCACCAACGGGATGGCCCTTGTATTATACACGTAAACGTTAATGTAATTAAAATGAACAGGCAACATTGGGTTTGTAATGTTACCAAATCTATGCGATAATTAGCGCATATGAATATAATGATGTATTCCGCTAGATGGCGGAACGATCTTATAGCTTGGCGATATTACAATAATACAAAAGCAACCTTATAACGCTAGCGATAAAGCAACAAATCAGATGACTCCATCGGCCACGCTAGGAACGTCTATTAGTCTAGTAAACGAGTTAATTACATTAATAATTTAACTGGCGTCTCTAGGTGCGGACGTAAAACAATTTGCACAATAAAGTGATTATTGTGTTATTAAATAAAACTAATTATTCTGTTTTTTCTTAATTTTAGTGAAATTATACTTCTTTTGGCCCGTTTGGTGAATAATAGTGAATTTTACGCAGACACCTAAAAACATCACCGACTTCATGGTGTTACCAAAATTTTTTATTGCATTTGATGTCTTTTTCATAAACAAACAGTACTGGCACAGGGGATACAATTTTAATGACTTTTCTTTTGCTACGCTAAAGAAGTATAACTTCTAACGTGCTGTACGCACACAGATACGTACTTTTCAATAATACGTTTATTGCAAAACACAACTTGGCGTGTCCAACACAACGTCTACATCTACGTCGAATACAATGACTGCTGCGAAGTTAACACGTAAGTTGCAGTGAATGGGGGGGGGGGGGGTGTTGCAAATCAGAAGACCGGCGGCCGCTCTGGTGGGCAAGCGGTGGTGAGCAGCTCACCACCGCTCTCCGTTAGGGCCACCGTCCTGTGGTACTTCACCAGGTCGGCTGAAACGATGGGAACAATTTGTTGTTCATCTTATTGCATATGAACATCTTCAGTGTAGAATAACGCTAAAAATTCGGTACGGGTGCAACGCCGTTTCAGTTGGCAGTGCCTGGTGGTCAGGTGTCAGCCCATGGGTGGCATCGCTTAGCATCGACTTGACTGCTCGATGAATAAGGGGAAGGTGATACTAATGATGCGGCGATGATTGTCTGCACGAATGGGCAGACTCGTCTGTCTCACAGAAGATGTTATATTTCGCGTTTCGTCTCACGAAGTGACCACAGCATACGTTATAAATGTGCCAACGCATTTGCAACACTACGGGCGCTGCAGACATTTATGGGAACTTAACATGAGGGGAACCGACAGCTCGCTCGCCACCTTCTCACTAATAGAATATAGTGAACATAATGTACATATGGGCGGGCTATTATTGTTAACTTCTTCTAGGCGACCTTAGAGTACAGGACCTATCTGACCAGTTTTTTTATGTCAGAAGCAAGCGAGCTGAAGGTTAGGTTAAGTTAAATGATAACCGCCGCCATGAACCTTTAAAACAATGAACCTTTAAAATAATAAAGTTGGTCCCTGCTAGCTCACTCACCAGACGAAACGCAGTATAACACTACCACTTCACGCCGGTCTTCCGTGAGGTCGTGGTACTTCCCCGGACGGGCCTGCCCATTCGTGCATCAGCCCCAGCTGCCGCGTGTTCTGCCGCAGATAAAGTCCGCGGATCCACCTACCCAGGGAGCCGTGCACCAGGCTGGCGGCGCCCAGCAGGCGGTAGCCGCGCTCCACCTCCACGAGGTAGTGCTTGCAGCGCGACTCCGCCCGGTAAGAGAGCGCGTAGCCCCACACCCTCTCCGACACGCGCACCAGGAAGCTGCCCACCTCCTTTCCACCGAGCAGCCGCTCCGCCTCCGAGCGGGAGATGACACCTGCGAGACAGTGTCACCAACTATTCAAAAACATACTGAAGCAATTCTAAAACCCGCTAGAATACACTAGATTCTAACCAAAAAAATGAGAAACACTTTTAGATTTGGTTTGAATTTACCTCGAAAAAAAACTGCACTTGTAAATAAAATCCTAAATTTAGATAGAAAAAATATTTTGTGAACTAAAAAACAACTCCTAAGTTGGTATCCGTGCTGCGAGAACGCCTCATTAACCGATTACACCTGTGGTGGAGTGCCCGCGCCCTGAGGCACTCCACCGTTTAAGGCCACGATCCCCGAGGAAATTTTTTCGATGAAGAATTAAAATACAGCGAAACAGTCGCGAATGAACAACCACTTCTGCAGTGATAATAATAATTCGTTTAAAGCTTTATACGGTGGTCGAGCCACGCTGTAGATTCTGCTTTGGATCAAATTGCCGAGTCTTGGGATGGACCACTGCCCCAAGACCGGTATTAAACAAAACTATAGCATTTGTTCGTTCTGAAGAATTTGGTAGCTGGGGCCCTCCTTAAAGGTTAACAACGTAAGATGACTGAAAACCCACACTCCTAAGGATTACAGCTAGCATAATGGGTCAATCCTAGCTCTCTCAAAGCGCTGCAAAGGGCGTATATGCGATGATAAAATACCAACCGTGGAACCAGTCCACTGGCTTGTTGTTCTCGTCAAATCCGACGCCCTTCTTCAGCTCGTGGGTTTTGAACCATTCCACAACTGCTTCGCGATTCGGGGGCTTTCCCGCTGAAAGGAAAAGCATTAACATTTAGTAAACACATAACTCATATTAATAAAATATTAATGAAATTCACTATAGCCTAGTCGTTTTCTGGGTGAACAGCTACCACAGTACAGTTCTTAATAAATATTGCATATCGACCTTTGGAAAGAGACAATTGGCTAATTTCGTACGGCATTGTCTCCGTCGCACGAAACACTACCCAGTCGGGTAGATAGTATGTGACAGGGATAACGCTCTACAGAACCGAAATTAATTGAACTGTCTCTTTCCAAAGGGGCGACTACTAAAACTGCGCTCACATCAGTAAGGGAACAACAAAATCTTGGATATCATAAAGTCATAATTTAAAATGTTTTAAGACGAAAAAAATTTAGTCGCTACAATTTAAAAAATCCATTAATTGTTAAAAAAAAAATTTCTAGCAGCCATCGTAATTACGTTTTAATATATCTTAATATATGTATATAATTTCTTAGGTCGTGGGTTCGATTCACAGCCACAGATAATTGTTTCGGATCTGGGCGTTTGTCCACGTGAAATTGATGTATGTAAAACGTCATCCTACAGTAAGGGAAATGTTTTTAAAAAACAAAAAAAACTCGTATTTGTATATTATATAACATCATTAGTCGTATTGAAATTTAAAACTTGTTACATGGTAATTGTGTATTATATGGGTGTCTTGGTACAAATTACAGATAAACTAGCAGATAACTTCTGTGGTAGGGCAACGCAAAAGTTATCACTGTTGCACGAATGGGCAGGTCCGGGTAAGTACCACGACCTCAGAAGACCGGCGTAAAGTAGAAGTGTTACACTTCTGCGTTTCGTCTGTGTCGTGAGTGAGGTAGCCGGGCCCACTTTATTTAAAGGTGGCAATGCATTTGCAACCCTACGGGTGTCGCAAACGTCTATGGGCGGCGGTTATCAATTAACATCAGGTGAACCGCCAGCTCGTTTACCACTTTTTCACATAAACAAGTAAATTTTTTATGAGCGAAAAAAAAAAACCGACTTCAAATTCTCTGCTCTGTATTCACTTTATAATTGATTTTCAGTAGTTCCCTACTTATCTCCGGAGCCCAAGATCCAATGCCAATCAAATTAATATGGGACATGGGAAGCACCGGCTTTCAAATAAAAAAAGAATCACAAAAATGGGTCGACTCAGTCGAAAGTTCTGAGGTAACAAACATACAAAAAATACAGTCGAATTGGGTACCTCCTCTTTTTTTGAAGCCGGTCGAAAAGACAAGACACGCGAAGACAAGAGAAGCATTCATACCTTGAGTGGGACAAGGGGTTGTGTCTATGTCTGTGCTGAGACGGTGGGCCTCTCTGGCGGCGCGGGCGATCTCCCGCATGGCCGCCTCTGCCTCCTTGGCTTTGCGCTCTGCAATTGTATGAATGAATGAATGAATGAATGAGTGAATGTCTTTTATTGTCCACCACCAAATTAGGATTTACATAAAAGTGACAATAGAACAACAAATTTATGCAACGTACATACGCCTTATCGCTTCATAGCGATCTCTTCCAATGGTATTATTTGATTTTGTTTTATTTTGACCTATCAATTGAATTATTAATTTGTTTTTAATTCAATTATTACTATGGGCTTTTGCCTGATCTTGCCTTTTGCCTGCCTCTTAATGAATTTATTCTTCTCGGATTGCACCGGTAAAACCTTAATCGAAGCCAAGTGACTAGACATTGGTGTGCTGTTTTGTTTACTAAATTGACATCACTCTTGAATTGACAATTGTCACCACTCACCTAAATGTCGTTTGAAGAATCCTAATAGATAGCAGTCACCCTACCCTCACGATAACGTCGCTGCTTGAAAGAAAAAGAATGGAAGCGGTGACGTCATCACTCACCGAAAGTTCGAAGGACGCTTATAGAGAACGGACGGAAGGCGTGACGTCATCACTCACCCTGCTCGCGCCACACGGCGTCCATCTGCTGCGTGGTGCGCTGCGCGTCCCTCAGGGTGCGAGCCCTGCGAGCCCGCAGGCCGCGCAGTATGTCGCCAGCCCTCGCGGCGGCAACACGCCTCTCCCACGCGGCCACCCGCAGTCCCACGCCGTCCGTCAGACCCATGCCCGCCTCCTGGACGGAGCAAGCGAATAGAGTCGGACTTCTTGATGCTGAACGTAGTGATACCACCAAGTATCAGCCTATTATGTCACACTAAACGTCTCTGTACAGGGGGTATCAGGGCATAGTCCAATACCTCAAGTATCAGCCTATATAGGCTGATTCTTGAGGTATTGCCTCACTGCTGTGTAAACGCCGCTTCTGCACAGAGGGTCCACCACGTGATCCCACTGTGGATTAGCGGACTTATGAATCCTCGAAATGTCTTTTTTTATGTTATTATTCCGAAAATATGAAGGTTTCCTCTAGATGTTTTCCTTCTCCGCTGGGCACGTAATACGTGAGCACTTAAAATTTACAATTTCATTGATGCCGGCACCGAGGATCGAGCTCCCGATGCTCGAGTATATTGAATTGAAAGCGAGCACCCGGACAATGAGCTATCACGGCTCCTATACCACAAGATCTTCCTCAAATACAGGAAGAGCCATATGATTATGACTTCAGACTGATTTTTAGTCATACACATTTTAGTAAATATTTGAGCTTATGGCTCATTCAATAATATCAACATTTATTACAAGGAGCTGCAGCTACGGCTGTTACACGAATGGGCGTGCTCGTCCGGGGAAGTAACACGACCTCACAGAAGATTAACGTGAATTGCAACTAAGGTAGCCGTGGCCCGCTTTTTTAATGTTGGCAACCCATTTGCAGCCCGTCAGATAGATTTATATGAGGCTGATCGTAGACGTACATAAGCGGCGATAATCCATTAACATCAGCTACACCGCCTGCCCGCTTGAAAACTTGTCGCATAAAAAAGAAAACTTTCTTAACCTGATTTCGTGATCATCCGTGTGAGCCGTGTTTGTAAAATGTCCGTGCAGCAGGATAATATTATAAGTCAATGGCAGTGCATTTAAAAATGCTTAATGTAGTGTATGTAGGTGATAGCAAAATATTAACAATATAAACCAACCTGCAAGACATCTCTGACTTCCCGCTTGCCCTCGATAAAGTTGAAGTGCATCGTATTCTTGCTCAGGTCGAGTTTGATGCTGTCTTCGTACTCGGCTTTCTCCAGCTCCTTGGGTGACGTCACCTCGGGTCCCATCTCATCGATCCTCGCTCTCAACTCGTCCACCGTGCAGTACAGGTCTAGGGTATCTTCTAGAGAGTCCACATTTTTTGGTGATAAATCGAACTTCTGCAAAAGAAATCAACAATTTTGATGATGACATTGTCGGTTGTTGAGTAACGATTGTTATTCGGTTCTAATCGTCCAACACCTCAATACACAGTTATATTATATAGCTAAATCTAAAAGTTCTATGACCAATATGAAGCTGCCACTCAAGGACCTTTATTCCCCATCGGTTATTAGTCCTACGAGCTATAGGGCGGCCCATCGCCACTTCAGCTTACTAATCTTCAGAGCTATGGTGGTTACCTTTTTTCCATGACTTTATACTACAGGCAACAGATAAATACGATTCATTTAAGCCCCCTAGTTAGACAGATAATTAATTTGGGAAAATCTAAAGGAAAACTGAGTCCACCTGTTCTAACGCATCCAGTGGCTGATATTCGATAAGATGAGTGAGCTCCTTCTCCACGGACTTCCTCAGCTGGTGGGCCTCTTGCCTCGCCTGCATCAGAGCGCGCTGCTTGGCTTCCTCCGCCAGGATGTCCTCGATGGAACGGTCGTCCGGATGCTCACCCATGACCCATACCTGCGGAATACGACCAGTTCTTGGTACTTCAGTCCTTCAATCGACCCTGGCTTCACACGTGAAAGGTTTTTAAGAGAAATACTTATTTTTTAAGTGTAATGCAGTATCCTGCTATTGGGTATATGAGCTGAGGGTTGTTTCAATCTGCCTAGCTCAATTTTCGCGTGTGTAACATAAGTGTACGCCTGCCTGACGTCAACCCTCCTTAGGAACAAATACTCAAATCCTGAAAAATTATCTGTGGTTCACACAAATACTTGTCCTGCGTGGAAATCGAATCCAGAATCTAAAGCCCCGACGCCGATGACAATGGCCAAGCAACTGGGCCACCGAGCCATCTTAATATGAGTACCATCATTTCTGTATATTAAGAGGTGACAATCAACCATGCGGTTTCACATGTTGATAGTGTTTGCGGCGGCTCTTAAGAAATAGATACCCTCCATCTGCTTATTTCATTCAGCAGAAGAGCAAGACTTTCTTTTGCTTACGCCAATTTTTTACGGGCCTATTTCCAGCCTGTTAAAATATAAGCAGAAAACTATTTAAAGGATCAACACAACACGACCTTCTCAGCTACTTGTGTGCATTGCTCGGTTCTTCAAACAAAGTGCTGAATGTCTAGAATTTCATACTGAGGACATTTATAAAAATCATTCAAAGAGATTCCACCAAGGATCGCACAATAAAATGTTTGATTCGTTATATTGTCATGCCAATATAACGTATCACACATATATTCTTTTATTTACGTAGTTTCTTTGTTCTGATGTTTGAACAATGAATGTTATTCCACGGGAAGCCTATAAATGTCACATTGTTATTATAATTCACCATTTGGTATTAAAATTGCTCATGACCCACTTCCAATTGGGCTTGCAATTTGATAGCGCATTTACCTTAAATGCAGGATAGCTCATATAGGGCAACGGATGTTACGGGCGGCTGCGGTGTTAAATTACAGCAAGGTTGTTTTACGATGCCCATTATTTTTACTTAAAAGCGTTTTTTACAGTTTTACTTAGCTAACTAGTTTTTTACATATCTTGACTGTGCGGCATAAGATCTTTTGAGAATATTAATGCTAATATACTTTGTGACGTGATGGGTATCCTAGGTTAGTTGCAGTTCAAGAGAGAATATCTTTATTCAATATAGAAGCATTACTTATTGATAGTCAAAATACTATGACCTGAGAAGAAACTGCGTGATAATTTTTTACCAATTCTTTGGCATTATAATGTGTTTAATATCCTTACAGTCAACTTGAAAGTGCCTGTGTTATCATTTAAATAATCACTAACGTTACAATAAACTTTATAATATAACTTTAAACACACGTTTAACAGACGTTCCTTTACAATTTTTTGAAGTAAGGAAGTGATGATATATACGATGGCCAGATCCCTGTGGTGATCGAAGAGTAGAAAAACGTATATCAAGTCTCACAACGGTAGAACAATCATTTGATCAGCTGCCACGGACGCAGCATTGACCCAGTAAAGCCGACGCGGGCCTTGGAAACTGTTAAGCCATGCGGAAAAATACAAGTCGTGTTTGCTTTGCACAGTGTTTATCACTGCGAACCTCGAGACATGCTCCTTATCTTCGGTTTCAACGTAGACGCGCCCACCAGGCCCCATATTGTCGCTCGTAAAATATATTCGTTAGATAAGAGCACATGAATAGGCGATGACCTTAAGGCTTTGGATTGGGACCTGGTCGTACATAACAGCGGCATACAGTTACACGGCCTTATGAATTTGTTGTTTGGCGAGCGAAATTCTCTAAACAACAATCATATCCAAATAATAGCTACAGTTAAACAAGTTGTCATGGTCTTAACTATCTCTGCGAGATCTCAGGCGAAAAGAATTAAGAACTTAAGAATTCGTTTCTTGTTATACTAGACATTGTAACTGTTGTTGCTAGAATATTATTTGCTGACCGTTGTAATACATATGTAAGATCATTTTGCGCGGTCGTTAGCCCAATTTCCCGCGTTACGTCACTCTTTATACTAAGAAAGCGGATCAGAGAGTTTTATTGCGACGTGAAAATGAACATTTCGGCGTAATCTAACTAGAGAAGTCCACTTCTTGTATAACTGTTTGTCGTAAAACTTCTGGTAACATTACATGTCTTCACGTATCGCATCAAGGAAAATATGTCCGAAAGCGGAATCTAGTGTTAAATTTATACGCATAACCTACTCGAAATGATTTTAACCCGGTTAAAAGATACAATACAACTTTGCAGTGTTGCGTTAGAGTTGAATTATGTAAAGTTTGCCGTTTTCTCGAAATCATAACTTTAGCAGCCTTAATAATGATTTTATAAACGGGCACATCGTGCAAATATTTTGCGTAGTGATTAAACTCAAAGAATGTAATACGCTTAAGCTATGTCGGTTACCTTTGTTCTAGTGCGGATGTCTCCGTTGCGAACGCTATCACAAATACCGAGCATAGCCCGTTCCCTAGCTCGCTTAGCGCCTAAGTACTTATGGTGAAACTACTCTCTAGGAAATAACGATCTTGAATGAATGAATGAATGAATGAATGAATGAATACTTTATTGTCCACAACACATAACAGGATACACAAAATTAACAATAAAGATCTTGACCCCGTATGGCGAGATCTCACTTATTTATAATCAGTCCTGTGATCGACAAGTACATCCAGACCCACCCCATTTGTAGAATATACACGTTTTGAGGCAACTTGGGATGGCTTCCACAACAGCCAATGGCAATTAAAGAGGTGGCCTCCGAAGCCACTTCGCGCAATAGTCTTTGCCAGGAATAGATCGCGTCTGATGTATCTATTTCGCAAATATGCATTTTTTTTTTCAGAATTTTTATTAAACCTCGTTAGTGATTCCTTTCTGAATAAGCGTGACTAAATAGAAATTAGAAACTATATTTTGTTTACTTTTGCTTGTTACCATAATGTTAATTATTACAAAGTTAACCTCAACTCTGTAACAAACTAGTCATACCATTAATAAGTATATCAATTTTGAACTAGCTTTTAGCAATAGCTTCGCGCGCCAACTTTTCTTGGTTAACTAAATAATAGTTCTCATTAAGTTTTATAAAAGTTAGAGCGCCCTTTGTTAAAGCAGAGAGTGATTTGTTAATGCAGCTATAAGGCTAATCCAATCTAATTTCGTCAAAATCCGTCCAGTTATTGCGGTGTGAAGAGCATGCAAACTTGAAAATTTTGATATTTCTTATATCAATAGGCTAATAGGTACCGAGAGTATGACGTAACCAGATTGAATAGAGAACTCACCCAGGGCTCCCCATCCTCGCCTTTGAGGAACTGGACCTGCTTTTTGCCAGCAGCCTGGACTCTGGGACCTTCAACTTCCTCCTTGCTCACTTTCTCATCCCACATCTGCCAACGACGCACCTGGAATTGACCGAACATTGTGTAAACAACTTTATATGTTAGATGAAATATACCATGACATAATACATCGTTTTTTAAAATTTTTTTTTTTTTTTTTATGTGAAAAGTTGCCAAACGAGCAAACGGTTCACCTGATGTTAAGTGAATGCCGCCGCCCATAGACATCTGCTATACCCGAGGGTTTGCAGATGCGTTGACAACCTTTTTGGAAATTGGGCTCCGGCTACCTCACTCACCAGACGAAACGCGAAAGTATTTGTCATACTTCCACTTTACGCCGGTCTGAGGTCTGAGGTCGTGGTACTTACCCCGACGAGCCTGCCCATTCGTGCAACAGCCGAGGCTACTGCGTGGCTCTACCAATAACTGCGTGGCTAAACCAATACAGACTAGTGACGATTGGAAATCATAATATGCGTAATGTGCAATCACCGTGTGCAATTGATCATTTCGAATAAGTTCGTTCCATTGTTGAACACAATTAATGAGCCACAAACGGAGCTTATCAGCGGATGCCGCGTCATTACGTCAATTCCGAGCGAACGGAGCGATAGCCTTATCGCGGGTTAACTGGCGCCGGAAACAGAAATGGGGTTGGGCGCTGATAACAGTGCGATGCGCCCCGGACAAACACGATGACGACTCCTGACGGATGTCAAACTGAGGGTTAAGTTATAACAGCTTATACATTTGTCCTCATGTTAGACTAAGAACTCTAATACAGTTTATTGGAGATGACGAATTAGCTAGCGTCACACCTGTTGGTAAGTGACCACAGTGGGCCAAGCATTCGATACACCACTCCACCACCACAAATGGTGTGTCAAATAAGTCACGTTTGCCATGTTTTAACAAATAGTAGCCATTTCAAACAAATATTCCAAATTCTATTGTATAACGTGTTTCGAGTTCTTTTTCTTCAAACATTTTCGTGAACTGTTGATTCTTAAAATCAAAATCAATGTTTTCTGTGTTTTAGTATGATCATATATGTATTTAAGACATTTTTAGGACACATTTTACACAACATTTTCTAGTCCCAAACTAAGCAAAGCTTGTACTATGGGTACTAGTGATAAACATACTTTTCTTTTGTAAATAAATACATATTATACATATAGAAACACTCAGACACTAGAAAAACACCATGTTCATCACACAATATTTTCCAGTAGTGGGGATCGACCCACCCTCTGGCCTCAGGAGGCAGGTATACTACCCACTACGCCATTCGGGTCGTCAAAATGAATACACTACTATTAACGCAAAATACACAATATTTCAATCCGCGTCTTATCATGTAAACGTAAATACATCCACAATTAGTGGTGAAATTAAGATCAGGACGGACAGACAAACAAATAATAGTCAATTTATCAATTCTTTTCTCTCACTTTATTTTTAGAACGTACAACACACACCTTGAGATGGCCTGTCTAATTGGTACCATTCAATTATCGTGTGGATCTAGTCACGAGGTTGGATCGCCGCACCGAGAACACGTTCAGAAACAAAGCTCTAACCTAACATGACCTTGAGGAGCCGTGACCACTTGCATTAGCCCAGGCGCCAGAAAGCTTTGTCTGCGCTGCATTGTCCTCCGCAGGGCTCTCACTTCCGGGTCTTGGCCTTGCATTGTCACGCTAGCTTGCCGATTATCGGAGAAAATTACGTTTTGTTAGGCTATTTTTAATCATGCCAATACCTAATCATAGAACTGTAATGCCTAGTAAATGAAGCTAATACAAACACGTCAAATCACGCATACGTGCCCACTGTACTGAGGGCCTTATGAAATATTTTTTTATTTAAGAAGTGCAAGCGAGCTGACGGTTCACCTGATGTTAATTGATAAACGCTAAGTGATTACGCTTAATATCAGACGAACCGATCTCTTGCTATCTTGATGCATTAAAAAAGTATATTTTTTCCAGTTTTATTTTTTAATTTTTTGATTAACTATGCCATCGGAAACATGAATACAGACGGTAGTTATGTTCAAAAAGATGAAAAACATGTTAATAGTATCATCAATAATAATGTTATAAACAAGACTTTTAAGATAATTGCAAGATATTCGTCGAAGCAAGGTTTTTATCAAATTATGTTATTATATTTTATTTTTATCAATATAATATGTAAATATTCCATATGATTTTTAGCAAATCCATCGGCTCATCACTAGCACGATTTGGTACAAAATGCGCATTAAAAGTGAATTAGCCAACTCGGTGTGCCATTGTCCGTGAAATCTTTCTGTTGATTATCTTTCATCGCCGAGCGAGAAGCAGCAAATAAAACCTCTTCAAGTAGAGCAAGGTCTATTTTATGTATTGTAAAAAGACCCTCTATGGCTTACTGCGGCGTCCGCGTATTCCTGTAGTCCATGAGTCAGACGACGGCTTAGTCGGCGCGAATGAACGTGTCGAGAGTTCTCGAAGTCTCGCGGGATAATGGAGAGTAATTTATGGACGCTCAAACGGGTAAGGAATCACGAATACCCACGTGATTAACGGTCACTTCGTTACAAAGTAACTTAACGATTTCTTTTATTCTCTATTTTCCTCTACATCTTTTTTGGATTTTATCCTGAGCATGGAGCGGTTCCAAACTTAGTTTCTGTGGATGATATACGCTGAATCATGAACTTTGTAGAGGTACAGCTTTTATCAATTTTTTGCGAACCTTCGTTGGTTCCTCACACCAACAAAACAATTCTCGTGCGCCACATACCTACCACTTGGATAATCCCAGGGAAGTCAAGGTACTATCGAATAGAGTTATAAAGAAACAAACACTACTTTAAATGTCCACTTTTTCCATCATTTTGTATTTGTTTAAAATGTCATGTCTCCTGAACTGAGTAACTGTGTCGAGGGGACCACTTCAGTACTACAGTACTTCAGGGCTACTGCTCTTGCACGAATGGGCAGACTCGTCCGGGTTTCAGGCCGACTACGTGAAGTGGAAGTGTGATAGATTCAAGTGTCCTCTGGTGATTGAGGTAGCCGGAGGCCACCTTTTAAGCATTCCCAACGCTCGCAACCCCTAGATATAATATCCTCCTTCGCAACCCATAGAATTTCTAGATGTCCATGGGCGGCGAAATCACTTAACGTTGTGTGAACCGCCTGTTCGCTTGGCAACTTTTCAAACTAAAAAGCCCTAAACAATAAATCACGCTGGTGGTGGCGATTGACAACCATTTTTGGGTCACACAAATTCCCTTCAGAGTCAAGATACTCAGAGCTCAGCGCGCAATGGCTGGTGCCGACCATTGAGAACACTTACGCCATCCGTGCAGTCGACCAACGGACCGCAAGCCAAAGCGACTAAAGACATCTACCCTGCATTGTTACAAAGAAACGCCAAATCGCCAGACGCGCCCTTGAGGTGGTTTCTCAAAAAAATCAGACGTAATCGTTATCTATTGTTAGAAAACCGAAAATCAGGCAAAAAAGGCCGCTCAGCGCGAAAATGGCGCGAAATTGCGCGGTTTGTAGTGTGGCAATCGCCGCGGCTATAAAGCTGCTTGCAGACTTTAGGTTAATTTTTTTTTTTTTTTGTTCTTGATGAGCCACTGTTGGCCTTAGGGGCCTTTACAGTTCCGACGGACTTGAGGTGGCCGGGCTCTCGAGGCGCCTAGCCTGAACCTCGCGTATTTATTATTACGCGTTATGGTGACTAAGCTCGAGGGCTCCCGAAGGAACCTCGGCTCGGGCCGTCACGCTATTTAATTCACCGGTTTGGGAGGCCGCCTAGCTCTTAGGGCGCTTTGGCGGGGGCTCCATGGAGTGATCAGGCTCAAGGGTCCCCGAGAGGGGACCTCGGCTGTCACTCAACACGCGTTTAGCATTCCGATTCGAGGGTGCCCGAGAGGGCCGGACCTCGGCTCGATCGGTAGCTGTTATCTGACTGGGGGGATCTCTAGAGCTATCGTTACTACCACTTCGTAAAGCGTTGGCGCTGGGAGAAGAAGTGGCGGAAGAAACTCCAGCAACGCTTCTATCTTGAACTGGGGAGAACCTGCCAGGTACGTGGCGGAACCTAGTATATGTTTGCCGCACTCGCCGGCGAGTGCGGTTTGTGTTGGTGTGCTTGCGAAGTTTTTTAATCCTTTCGATGGCGATAGTCGTCTCATCGTCAGGGAAATCGAGAACGTGTCGCGGTCTACGGTGATTGCGGCGGAACGTACCTAGCGGCAGGGGTCTGTAGGTGGCGGCACCTACGATTAGCGGGTTGGGATGCGCGGCGGGGTTGGGATGCGCGGCGGGCTTTAGGTTCAGAGAACATAAACCTTTTTATAGGAAGAGTTAGCAAGCGAGATGCACATGAGATGAGATGAATATGACGGGATACAGAAGTATTGCCAACCGTTACTGGACCCCGGTTACCTTTGTATATAGCTCGGCTGTATCGAAATATATCCGTGTAATCCATACTAATATTATAAATGCGAAAGTAACGCTGCCTGTCTGTCTCGCTTTCACTCCAAAACCACTGATTTAAATGAAATTTGGTACACAGATAGTCTAGAGCCTGAGAAAGGACATAGGCTACTTTTTAATTGGAAAAAAGTGTTGTAAAGGGTTGAAAGATATTTGTTTAAGGGCGCGAGCGAAGCCGCGAGCGAAAAGCTAGTCTGTAGATATATCCGTTGTACCGTTATAATCGACTACACAACGACGAAAAAAACTTTTTACTGAACAAAAAATAGTCAGATTCAATGTTAAATACAAATTAATTACATGTTTTCTAACCTAGCTGACGCGGCATGGTGCCAAGAACGCTAGCTGCATTTCCTTAAGTAATGCGTAATCTTTGAATAAGAAAAGACCAGCTCTCTTATTACCAGCGACAGTCCTTCGTATCTTACAGCCATTGCTTTTCAAATAAAGTTGTTTAATTTATGAAAAAACTTGTATCGTTTAATTTTAGATACTTTTATGTTTTGCACCTGCGTCAAACTTTCTCTACTCCCAGGATTGACTGGAAGAGAATGCTTAATAGCTTATAAGTTTGCCTTTTGTTTAGCCTTAAGTTGAGGTGTAAACAATAAATTTTTAAATAAATAAAATAAATATTCTGCGTTCAACGCAGTGAGTGAACAGCTTTACTGGTGAGTCACGGCTTCATAGAGACAATCAGCTTTTCCGTAACACTATTAGTACACACGATTAGTTACACCCATTGTAGAAGGTTACAAAAGTTACAACATCTATGTTTCCCTCCGTTCTTTGAAAGACAACAAGGTTCCTTAATTCCGTAGTAAGAATCAATTCGCCATATGAACTCTATCGACTTCGGCAAATTGAGCAAGGGCCCTCCTAAGAACAAGTCTCTGTTGTCCAATTTTACTTAATACTAGTTGGTAAAATTTGTAGGAAAAGTACCAAAAGATTGTCGCCGCTGTGGGAATCGAACCCACGTCTTCGGCATTCGCGGCCTGACGCTCTAGCCACTGCGCTAAACGGCTGATAGCAACACCGACGAAAATGTTAACGTCTTTTATTAATCGGTTTTATTTAGCTCGACACGTACGGAATTTATTTGTTTATTTGGGTCAAAATTAGAAATTGAAATTTAAGCACCTTACCGTTGTCAGATTGATCTGAAATTTGGTACACACATTTAATTTAGATGACAATACAATATTGTAGTTTTCAGTGCACAAAAAAAAAACAGAAAATAAAACCGTTTAACTTAAAAGTTTTTAAACGGTTTTATTATCTACATTGTTTTTTGGCATTTGAAGCAATGCTTGGCGCATGCATTGTTAAATATAGTCATATTAGTTGTTAAATAATCATATTTTACTTGCTTACCTTTTACTAAGTTAAGTCACTAGCTTTGATGTCGACTAAAGCTTTGTCGACTACGTAAACAATAAAAATATTAATTGTTAAAAAAATATATTTCATTTATATTTTTAACAATATTGCACACATAGTTAAATGATTATCGAGAAGCAGTGTGTGATATATGTATTTACTTATCTTTATTTATATAAATGTGTGTGTATGTCACTGAACTCTTAGACGGCTCGACCAATTTTAATGAAATTTTATGTGTGTCTTCAGGTCGATTCGTAAATGCTTTAGATTCACAATTTGTTTTTATTTTTAAATTGTTGTCGGATTCAAGTCGTGTGTACAGAACGTTTGTTCGGCCCGCTAGTATACGCATAAAAATGAAATTATCATTTGTCTATACGATGTGCAGTGGTTTTTGCCAATATTATATATACATGTCAGCCAGTAAGACTAATGTCAGTTACCTGTTCCTCGCGCATCTTGCAGAAGAGCGTTTGCTTCTGGGTCTCGTCGAGTTCCGCGAGGATCTCCGGGTCAACCCACATGTCGCGCAGGATTTGCTGCAACATTGCGCCGACTCTGCGAAAGAGAAACATTAAGTGATAAGTAACAATTGAGTGTACAGTTCTACGAAGTTAAGTTATAGTATAGTAGGTAGGTATTTTGTTTTGACTTACGTAGTTGTCGTCTGACTCAGGTAAACGTTAAAATATTAATATGATTTTATTTATAATTGAACTATGTATCAATGTAATAGCTTATTTGGTGTTACCCACGAAGGGGGTAGAATAAAGAAATAAGATCAATAGTAATACTGCCTAATATTTGTAGTGTTCCCAAGATATTTAATTATGAAGTTATGATTATTTCAAAATTCAAAGATTTATGGGCTCAAGTAAAGACTAACGTATTTTTTTAGCCGATATGGATATTTGACAACTTTCTTAAAGCAACTGGATGGCCAATTATAGGAATATGTCGCTTTAAACGATAAATTTTTGCTTAATTTATCGTTTAAACTCTATGCCATGCTGTAACTTAAGTCCGAGCATAATTTGCTTTTTAAATGTTGGCACCAATATATTTAAACGGAATCCTTGTAATTATCATCTGAATTCGATTAGATAGATTTTATAATTTTCTCAAATTCACGTTTGGTAATTAATTAAAAACAAGTTATAAAAAGCAGCCATTTCAAACGTTCATTTTTGGAGCCTGTGAGGTCATCGTTGCAATACTTTATCACGGAGCGATAATAAGGAACGTTATTGCCAAATTAAAGTATTCATACATAAAAAGCAATAAAAAAAGGTTGAATTTATGTCCATAAAACAATCCTTAGTTGATGCCGTGTATAAACGATTAATTTGTATCTGTATTTCTGTAAAATATTTGTTTCCGGTACGCATTCAACATCTCAAAATACTATATTCAAAGATAATATTAAAGGTAGCAGCCTATATGGCTGGGAAAAGGCGTCCTCTACACAGACGGTATTCGAAATACATTTTTGTTACTATTTTTAAAATGTTTAGGTTTGTCTGATGTTTTCCTTCACAGCTGAGCACGTGAAAAGCCAGCACCAAAAAATTAACAATTTCATCCACCGGATTTGAACTCAGGTTGCTCGAGTATTTTGAAATAAAAGCTCGCTTTAATTTAAAATAATACCCGGTCACTGAGCTATCACGGCTTAATTTAAAGGTTATATAAAGCTTACCAAAATTAAATAGCAAATAATAAGTTTTGTAGTACTGCACAAATAAAAATATCTATGAACGCCACGAAACATTTTTTCGCACAAAGAAAAAAGTGACATTTCCGAACCGTAAATGGCGGGAAAGACGAAGCGAGAATTAGATCGTTTCCGTATCGTCTAATGACCGACACGCGTGCCTGCAATTAACCACAGATTACGAATTATTTCCGGATAATCCCATGCGCTTGTACCAGCTGACCTCGGTTCAAACGTTAACATTTCTTGAGAAGGCGAGCGATACTTTTTTATAAAAGCACTTATTACAAAGGAAGTCGTGAGGTCCCACTTCGATAGTCGAAGCGGAAAGCGGACGAACGAATGTTTTTTTTTTCTTTTTATATGTAAGCAGTGTTACTTGGATGAATCCCCTTCATGAATATTAATTGTTAGAACTTGTATAACCACGCGTGCGGTAAGGACATCCGAATAAAAAATGAATGGTAAATGTATTACGTAAGCATTAGGAAAGATATTTTATTTTCCAGTGTCAAGTTGTAATGACCGAAACACTAATATTCGATATTTAACACTAATACGTTTAGTATTTAAAAGCTTAGATTTTAATGTCAAATCTTTAAAAATTTCACGCGTCACGGCAATGCAAAAAATTAAAAATCATAATTTTCAAATACACTATTTAACCGTTCTATATTCTGTACCAATAAATATCTTTTCTTTAAACATGTAACATTATACTTCCACACAAGTATTCCAAACTTACTTACAAGCTAACAATATGGACATAATACGACATTTGACACCGCTTTGTTGTTAAACAGAATACGCGCGTAAGCAATTTCAAGACAAGGTTTAATGTTGGCAACACTACCACGAATCCTGTTTATGTTTGTCATTCCAGCACCGTGCACGGATATAAAAGAATTTTTCACATACGTACTCAATTGGTAAACGATAGTATAGCGAAGTACGAAGTAATTTCCCTATACTTTATTTGCCAAAAACCTACAAAGGGACTGCAAGATATTTGCCGCCAAACTGTCATTACTTTCATCGATGCTTCAGAGAACCCTCAATTAAAATACCTATAGGTACTGTTGAAGAAAACATCGAGTAACAAGACGTGTGAAAATTACTCGAGCTCTGAACTTGTGACTTCCTAGCTACTGGCAAATTGATATTACTTTTAAATTTAAAAGAACATCGACGATAGAGAATAATCTCTTTTGAAAATTTTGACATGAAGACCCGGCAAGAACGCCAGATCCTCACGTCAAAATTTGCAAAGCTTTTAGAAAAAAAAATTTGTAAATTGAACAGATCACTCCGGCTTCGCCTTTGAAATTAACTTACACTAACTCAAATAAACGATGACTACGCATTAAAATCCAAATACATCATACACTATTCCAGAACATTCGTGCGCGTCCCTTTTGAAACACGGACAGTTTCAACTTCCCAGAAAGCGTAAAACAATACGTGCGCCGTATGCGGCATCCTTTCGGTGTGTGCATTGCATTAACAATCCACAGCGACATCGCCCAGGTTCAGTGTAACTTTGCCGGCGGTATACGACACGAAACACGATTCGTAACAAAATCGTGACACTTATAAAGCTTTGGTGCCGTAACAACTTACTCTGTGGCATACCGCCGCTTCTATACTAAAATAAAATAATAAAATCCGGCCAAGTGCGAGTCAGCCTTGCGCATGAATGGTTCCGTACCATTATCTATAAAAACGGCAAAAAAAATATCATGTCTATCGTATGGGAGCGACACTTAAATATTTTTTATTCTGTTTTTTAGTATTTGTCGTTATAGCGATAACAGAAATATATCATCTGTGAAAATTGCAGCTGTCACGAGATACGGTCTGATGACAGACGGACAGATAGACAGCGGAGTCTTAGTAATAGGGTCTCGTTATAGTCCCTTTGGGTACGGAACCCTAAAAAGTGAGACGTGTGTTTGTGTGTAATAGATAAACTACCATTACTAACAAAAAAACAGTAACCAGTAACGTCGCTCATATGATTTATAAACATTCACGCAATTTAAAACGGTAAAAAAAAAACTTATTTTATATAATTATATGGACTTGGAAAGTAAGAGGAAACATAATATTCAGCACAGATTATGATCGATAATTTTTCTATACTTCGATTTATCTACCCGCGGGAAACTAATACAGGTTTGCTAGGTAACGTTTAAAACAAACAATACTAAATAATTAAGCAAGATAAAATTGAATCAGTGTGCTCCATACATAACGAATCCATACATAACGAAGCCAAATAAGTGAAACGTTCCACGGATATTTGAATGACAATGTTTGTGGATGTAACGGTAATGGAGTGTCTGATTTCCGAAGTAAAACACTGTCACAGATCACAGATAATGTTGGTATTGTAGACATACCCTAACGAAAAAAATATCATGATAAATCGAACACCGAAATGACTTTGTAGTTCAAATATTATCTTATTTTAATACACAGGGCAGGAAAATCGATGCGATAGTTTGCTGTGCAATATCCCTACCTATGCTATTTTAAAGACGTGAACGCTATTATATAATATCATAAAGCCGATGATAATAATTTCCATGTAAATTGATTTTATTATTATTTAAAAACATATCCATTATTTATGCATGGCACAACATTATTATGCATATGCATGCTGAAAGAATCGCAAGATACCAGTGTTGTAGTTGTATGCAAAACCATTCGTACATTAGATTTATCAAGGATTGTAATTTGTAACACGGAGCATAACAAAGGAACCGGTATCGTCTTATAAGAAAATAAGAATGAATTGAAACACAACTATTCAAGGTTTCGTGCCATTTAGATAAGTCGACGAGTGATATTTTTCATATTATCTGTCATTAAATTAGTGTTAGGTATGAAAGTATTAAGTAATAGAAATGTAACATTTATTTTTATTATTTTTATTTCACTCAACACATAAAATTAAAATTCAAATACATCATCTGTGAAAAATTTCAAATGTCACGATTCATGAGCTACAGGCTGTTGACAGACAGACTGACAGACAGGCAGCGGAGATTTCGTAATAGGGTCCCGTTTTACCCTTTGGGTTCGGAACCCTAAAAACTATTAAGCAGATATGGATATACCTGACAATATCGTTCTTAGTTCCAAATATTAAAAGAAAAACATGGATTTGTTCAGAAATAAGAACGAAGAAAAAACTATTTTTAGAAGTAAAATTTTAATTAAGCCTCAAATCTTAATACAATCTATTAAGGAAAAGCTTCTTGCGTTGGCATAAACGAAAGTAATATACATTTGAACATCAATAGTGAGTTACGATAGGGTTATATCAGGGGGTTTAATTTATGACTTTTATAGAATTGTAATGCTAAAGTATATTTTTGCTGTTTTGCAATAATAAAAAATCAAATTTGTTTTCACATACTTTACTTCTTTTTTTTTTAATGCCAATGAACATGAAGACATTAATCCCATCCGGCTGTACAAACTAATACGTTTGCAAGAAGTAAAATATTATAAAATATTGTAACAGGTTGCTAAATCGAGGAGATTATCAATTTTGAGCAATAGACCACGTTATGTTTGTGGTTTTGTAATGAGCGATGTGTCTGTGGAGCGATAGAGCTGATTCTGCAACTGAGTATGGCCTAATAAGCTGAATTTATTGCACTGATGTTACTCATTCTCTTATTACGACGATGAACCCTCGTCTTTAAGTGATTTGCTTTCTTTTTCTCGTCCCGAGTTAAAAAGTGACTGCCAGCCCTACGACCACCGATCCTATTACGAGAATTTCACAGGTTACAGGTTACCGTATTCAGTCCAAACGAA